ACACAGCATAGCTCAATGGATCCCTGAGGCACACAAACCATTGCAATACGTTAAGGTCCAGTCTCATCGTGATGGGGATTGGACCTTCACTATGCGTGATACTGCTCCACTACATATCACCACTTTTAGCTGCCACCGAACAGCTACCTGAGCTGCCGACTGCTCTGCTCTCCTTCGTACTTGTCTCCTCTGGTGGTCACTTCAGTGCGTAGACTATGCCACATGTCAGTAAGGCCAGTGTAGTTTCTAATAGCATCGATCACCTGTGATTCACACAGTTGCGATGTTCAACGCTACGGTAAGGCCGATGTTACTGTGTGGATCGGGGAGCTGATCACTTCCCACTGAAAACATTAAGAAACTGGTTATCTTTGACACAAGGTGTTTGCAGTTTTTGCACCATCTGGTCAGATGGGCCATGCTGAAGTCCGTTGCTGTTTGGACGAAAACCTGGCGCCTCGCTAGAGTGTGTGTTAAACTTGAGCCACCTGCGTTGGTCGAGTCACGTCTCTGATATATCGGTTGATCGCTTGCCTAAGCGCACGTTGTTTTCCTTTGGCCCATCTCGTTTGGTGAATCCCCGGAGTCGTCCTTCTACTTGTATTCCATTATTTCCCCCATTTCTAAACCATTACTGTCTAGTGATGCAAATCACGACGACCGAATGCATTGTCTGTCTGTGCTCAGTTCACAGTTGTTCAAGTGATTTAAGCAGGGCTACGCCGTGTTTAGTGGTATCTACCCACCAATCCTGCCCCTATCACGTGCGATTATGAATCAGAGATTAATCAAACCACTGGAGTATGTACTTCATTCAATCCAGTACGATCTGGAGCTCAGTGTGCCTCAGCTACCTCACAACACACAATTCTCAGATACAATGACGATGAAACAAACATTACCCACCACTTTCATTCCATGTTAACAATGTCTTTCAATGCTGTCGTCATTAACATTCGTTCCCTTTTACCTAAATTAGATATACTTTCAACACTTATGTTTATGAGATCCCCCGATATTGTTTTTATCACTAAAACTTGGTGCACGTCAGAAATTAGTGATTCTCAGCTTAACATCCTAGGCTATAAGCTTTTCCGCAAGGATCGCTCGCACAAACGTGGTGGTGGCTGTGCCATATATCTTCGAAATAACCTGACTGCCATTCCCGCAGATCAACCTGTGTTCATTGACTTAGAAGATACACTATGGCTAGTGATCCCATCTATTGATCTTCTAATGGGTTGTATCTATCGGCCGCCTCGAACTACTCAATTTGCAACCCAAAAGCTAATCGATATGATCAATTTTACTTCCAGCACCACATACAAATCCAAAATTATGTGTGGAGATTTCAACCTGCCACATGTTAACTGGACGCTGCCTACACTCAGAAACACGGCGGAGATTGAGGAAATTATCGCATGTATCCACCTCAATGGCTGGACTCAGCATGTTAGAGAGCCAACTAGAAGTGCTACTACCTTAGACCTTGTATTCACGATGGGAATTGCGAACGCTTATACATACATTGATAATCCACTACCTGGCTGTGATCACAACACGGTGCTTTGTGATATGACTATTGATTTACCTAAACGACCAAGTAAAATGCTAAAACCCATTCGCAACCTCCATCGTGTGGACTGGAACGCATTTAATGAACTTATCAGTACCATGAATTGGAATACGTCATTCCTAACCCACAACCCTACTGTGGCTACAAATGAGTTTATAAACAATATTGCCCTTGTTGTGGATCTACTAGCACCTACTGTAAGGAGAAATACCCATGAACATAGGGGTGAACTGAAGCTTCTGTCCAAAGCCAAAATAAAACTAAAGAAACTCAAATCGCTATACAGCAGAAACAACAGCTTCGCAACATTGCTACAAATACACGAGAACTTACTATATTTACAACGTCTAACCCTAACGGTCGAAACCAAAGAAGAAAGCCGGGTACTCAGAAATCCTGAGAAAGTACGTGCATTGATGCAACTACTCAAAAGAAGAAACCCTAAACCACTTCAGGAAATTGAAACGTTGGCTCTAGACGATGGTTCAATAACGCGCGACATCTCCTGTATATGCGAGGCCATGAACTCTAGTTTTGCCTCCTCTTTTGTCCCCAACATTCAGCCACTTCATCCTCCACTTCCAAAAAGAACGACCGAACTATACTGCAATATCCCTGTGACGTTAAGAGAGGTGCAAAGTGCCATCGCAGCCATAAAACCACCAACTCATCCAGGTCCAGATGGCATCTCCCCAACTGTTATAAAACTCGGAGGAAAAAACCTCGCACTATTGTTACTAAACATTTTCACACTTTCACTCACTACCGGCTGCTTTCCAGCTCAATGGAAGCAATCCATTATAATGCCTAAGCACAAGGGTGGACCGAGAAATCAAATGTCAAGCTACCGCCCAATAAATCACACCTCTGCTGCTTCCAAAGCCCTAGAGCGAATAGTCAAGAAGAACATCGTCCAATATCTTACAAGACTGGATCTGATCAACCCTTCACAGCACGGCTTTCTCTCAAAACGCTCCTGCGTTACATGCCAGCTACAATTTCTCGATCACATCACGACTATGATTGACAGAGGAATGGCAATTATTATAATTCTGTTGGACATGCAAAAGGCGTTCGACCGCGTGCCACACCAGCCACTGCTGTCTGCTCTAGAGTCATATGGAATTGGAAATCCGCTGCTTAACTGGTTCGACTCATACCTAAACGGTCGAACTCAGGTCGTTAAAATCGGTCAGCAACATTCTACACCGAAGCCAATAACCAGCGGTGTCTTCCAGGGAAGTGTGCTCGGACCGCTACTTTTCTTAATCTATGTAAACAATATATGTGACCCGATCAAACATGGACATCCATTTCTGTTTGCAGATGATGTCAAACTGGTTTACTCATTTCATCCAGACCAACTACATATGTGTTTGGGGAACATCTGTGAAGACCTATCCGCACTAAATATAGCTAGTGAGCGCTTATTAATGAAGTTCTCCGCAGTGAAATCCCAAGTACTTGGGTACAGATGCCGCATCCCAGAAGGCTCCATTATACTTGCCGGAAACGTGATCCCAACGTCTGATTCAGTTCGGGACTTAGGAATTAGGTACTCCAACTCTTTCAATTTCTCCGAACATGTTCTTTATCAGGTTGCGAAAGCAAGGCAGCTATGCGGATATATCACCAGAACTTTCTCCCTACCTGAAGTACGACTTGAATCATTCAAGACAATTGTACGACCGACTCTGGAATATTGTACTATCGTTCACAGCCAATTGAGAAAGAAAGACAGAACGGCTCTAGAAAATGTCCAACGATCATTTACCAAGCTGCTTATGGGACGCTGCTCAAACCTGACTTATTATGATCGCTGTCGAAAACTCCAGCTGGATCCACTTTGGCTGAGACGCTTAAAGAACAACCTCGTTCTCTTCTACAACATTATAAACCAACGAATTTACGCAGACAGCACCGCACTTGAACTACGGAAGATTGCAGTCTACCCCACACGTAATGGCGGCTACTTGATACATACAAACCTTTCAAGTCATAAAATTCGGTCGAATTTCTTCTTAGTGAGATACACTTATCTGTGGAACAAACTACCCCTACAGATACGCATGTGTACAAGCCATGTCACTTTTCGAAATCTCCTTCAGACCTTCCTCACTATACCAAATGCTCTGAAGATATTTGACTCACAGCAAACACTAGAAACATTGACAGAAGTTGGTATAAAAAACATTTGATAATAGCTTACAGCTAGCTTACCCACTACATGTCATTACATACCATACCAAATCCTGTGTCTTTGCAGCCTAATAGTCCCTTCCTTTATTATCTACTCCTGACGATACAAACATCCGTAAATTTTACATATGAGTTGCGCGGGTCTAGGACTCAACGAAAAGTAATCATGATCCGAAATGCTATCAATAAACTTTTCTTTGATGTTATGAAACGTGTTCACTATACAAATGATCGCTCCCACTTATGGGGCCGTGTACCGTCCGTCGGTAAATATACAAATTTATTTATTTATTTTCTGACCGAGATATCTGATTCCTAGTCTATCTATCCTAGTCAGCCTTCCCGTCAGCTCTCCACGCCCTTCCACCAAATCTCTGAAGTATCACTTTGGGGTCTCATCTCGTTGTATGCAGCGTCCACATTGCTTGGTCGCTTATACGAAGGATGGTGATCATGATTTGGATATGACCTAACCGGCGATGGCGGTTCGGTCTCATTAAACAATCCACTGATGGAGCTGGGGTCCGTTATAAAACGCCATTTCGTCGACGTTAGTTGTCATTCATGTGTCCACCAACGAATGGGCCTGCTCTCAAGTATCGGCACTCAAACGCCACCCTTAATGTCTTCAACATCTATCTGACACGGGTTTTCTTATATACAGTGGGCGTTTGGCCTTCGTTTTTTTCGGTATTTTCCAGGAACAATATTCCAAGTTTTGTGGCTCCTTGGGTACAATATCGGGACTGCGTTAACTCCTGCTCATATTTGCAAACTGTTTGTCCGTGAAGGACCAGTTGAAATCTGCAAATGAACACGTCTATCTCTTTCATCCTCAGATATTCCGCGTAAGGCTACTTCAGCTTTCGGAATTCCGGTCCTGCCTGAAAGCAGAGCGCTCAGTGGAAGTTTTCTCTCGTTAGTACTTATTTATTGCGGTTGGTGTGAACGAACAAAGACAAGTGTTCTGGTGCAGCTGAGCGGCGTTCTTCAGTGTCTGATTCCTTATTCTGGCTGTGAGCACAGCGTTCGGCTGATTCTGGAGCGCGTCGTTCACAACGGTCGTTCACATCCTCATCTTGTTTTGTTTTTGTATGATCGTTTCTTACTATTGCGACCACTGGAGTTTCATCATACATCCATTGTATCGTAGCTGTTTCTAAGCCGCGCCATGCACATCCTTTCACATCGTCTCCCATTTTCCACTCACACACCTATCAATCAGATACGCGATCGCCACAGCCTTGAGAGAGAAACAGAGAGTTATCTACACGACACCTATCAAGGCGCTGAGCAATCAAAAGTATCGGGAATTTTACGAGGCTTTCCCGGAGGTTGGACTCCTTACTGGTGACGCGACTATCAACCCAAACGCCAGTGTATTAATAATGACCACTGAAATACTCCAGTCTATGTTGTATAAGTAAGTGTGTGCGCACTGGATACCTTACTCTTCTGTGGACTCACTTTTGCTTTTTTTAATCAGACTTCATACGCGTTTCACATGTAATTTTCACGTTTTGATCTTTGGTTACCTCACACACAGAGGTGCGTCCATGATGCGTGAAGTAGGCTGGGTGGTGTTCGACGAGATCCACTACATGCGCGACCCGGAACGGGGAGTTGTATGGGAAGAGACTCTAGTGCTTCTGCCTGACAGTGTACGGTATGTGTTCCTGAGTGCCACCATTCCCAACGCTCGACAGTTTGCCGAGTGGATCGCACATCTTCATCACCAACCTTGTCACGTGGTCACATCTGAAAACCGTCCAGTGCCTCTGCGACATTACCTCTACCCGGTCGGCAGCGAGGGTCTGTTCCTCGTTCTGGATGAAGTGAGTCACTGCTGCTTTCGTTGAATGTACTTTTTCGTTTCACTTTTTTGCCAAAGACCACATGCCCTCCTCATTTGGTTAGAGGCAGCACCGAGCGAAAACCATGGTAATTCACTTCTCTCATTCTGTTCACGTTTTGTCAGTAATATGGACACTGCCGTATTTGCTGGAATTACCGAGACCAATTTTTTTTTACCTCCATCTGCTTTATTACAATAGGGTTCTTTTCGGTTTCTTAACTGATTTGACCGTTCAAGTTTGGTATGTAGAATCTCGTTTCCCTAGTGGAACGATATGAAGCGTCAAAAATAAACTACAATGCAACGGGGTTCCAAGGATTTATAACCCGATAGTGGGAATCGGAGAAGTGAGAGCATGGACGCCGCTGACATATCCATTATGTTTTTCTGGATAATACTTCTGATCAACCCTTTTGCCTGCATCCTGGGATACTTTAATCACCAACACAACCCACCTCGAGCATTCTTGTTGTCATATTTATCGGTTGCTCATCTCGGGATCTCTTCGGACTAGACGCTTGCTCACCAAATGTGATATGCGAGGTTGGCAAGCAACAAACTCAACAGCGCAAACGACCTGACGCTGCATCTGGGCCCGTTTCTCTGCCTCGTTATTAAAATCGTGACCCTAATCACTCCATGATTTTATTCTCACTGATTTTCCTCATTCACGCGATGCCTGTTAGACGAACTTTAGCGCTGCGCACAATGCATGTGATGAAAGTGTGCGTTCTTTTCCTCCTCCGTTCACAAGGTCAATGAGGACTTTGAAAGCTGCATGTGCGCTTCCGACACCCGAAATGATCTTCCGGGTGTTGTGGCTCCCAGATACTGTACCGCTTTCTCTGGGCGCGTGTGTCATTCGAGCTCTCAACCAATCTCAGGAACCTGCGGCAATACAGCCTATTCCCACAGCCACCTCATTCATTTGAATTCATAGAGTACATTGCAGAACGTGTAGCTCCCTCGTCCCGCAAGCTCGGCAGCACTTACGCACAGCTGGAATAACATTACAAGTGCTTTATCGCTCTCTTTCCCCGATTTTTTTTCTCTACGACTTATCCGGTTGGAAAACACTGGCGAAATTATTGCCATTTTGTTGACATTGTGGATGAAGAGCCCTGTTACGTCGTGCCCATAGTTTTGAACTCATCCTCTAGAATGAGAGTGTGAGCTTACGAATTATCCGGAATTCCCTTGGGCTACTGTCTGATAACAAGTCATATCACAAACATTCAATGTCAACTTGATCTGGGTCGTATTTCAGTTCAATACTAACCTGTATGCCTATCTGCTTGTCTAACACGTTTTAAACATGTACTAAGTCTGTCGAGTGCCTGGGCCGAACCCCTACCTGACTTCCCTTTTTCCACTTAGAGGACCAACCACGCGACCGATTATAACCCGTACGATTTATTGATATGCTTTATTGACGAATCTTCTACATCTTACAGCCGGTTCGACTAGTAGAATAACCGTAACTGACGGCCGGTCCGGAAATGGTACTCTCCTATGTTGTTTCAATCACAGTGAGTGTAGACTGTCACGCACAAGCGTTCTGTTCAGCACCAGCAGCGGTAGTTCACTCTGCGCCTAGTTGGAGCCTGGGCTGAGGAATGTCACCGTATGGCAGAGTGTAGTCGCCGCATGCTCAGAATCGACAGTCCAAAGAACGGCTGGTCCGTATCTTTTGTTATACGGTCTTTTTTACTATAACTTTTAATGCGGCAGCGTAGCTGAGATGTTTCCCACCTCTAGCTAACGTGTATGGTGGTAAGACTTTTCAATAGTTTTCTTGTACGTAGTTATATACCACCTGGCGACTCCTGTTTCCTCCTGCAACTTTCCTGTCTCCGAATCTCACCATCGGCCGCTTCTTTGCCAATTTTGGAGCGAACGCACATTATCCCGTAGTTTCAATAGCAAGATATCCGCTGAACAGCGACTTCGAATCCTTTTGGCATAACATATTAGGGGCGATACCAATTGTTTCTCGTCCGACACATTTGACTTGTTCTTTTCAGATTATGTTTAGTAATAAAGAAAACAAAGTCACCGGTGCGCTGCGCCGATTTTGCGCTTGCGCACGACCTCTACCATTCGCGTCCGGGCTAGGGATACCGCAGGTCACCCGCACCTACGCAGATTCGGACCGGCAATCTTCGGGTTACAGGGCAAATGCCTCATACCTTTCACCAGTGGCCTTAGGGACTTTTCCACTCCACAGACCGTGGGGGGGGTGGTTCTTGAGACTCAGACTGGACGTTGTGGTTTAAGCGCACACAGTGTTATGTACGTAATCTGGGTTGGTTTTTCAGACCCTTTAACCGCGGTATGGTGTGCGTCACCATATACCACTCTATTTTCAAGAGTAACCTTCCAGTTCCAAATAGTTGCTCAGCTGATGTGATAGTGTGCGTCTATTCGACCCGTTTTTATGCCGATCTTCCTTGCAGTACCTTACTAATGATTCTTTCTGTGGAACCAGAGACAGTCTACGCATACTTTTTTGATAAGGACACCTGATATCTGTATAACTTTTTTCCTCACCTGTTGTCAGAGCGTATCTGATCTCCAGTTGCATCCATGGGCTTTTCAACCATATTAGGGCTTTTCATTTCTCTTGGGCATGGCTTCCAGATTGTTGCCTACAATCAATGCGTCGCACCAAAGAGCACGCTTCTTCGAACGTCGGGATTCATATTCAGGACGCTTATCAACCGTTTATCTAGGTGGTTCCGGTGCTTGCGTTTTGGGGCACAATAGCTAATAGCTTTCCCATCTCTAGCCAACGTGTTGAACAGTGATGGTAACGATGCTTGCGTTATTGAGAAACTGACTGACAACTTCGGTCGTACATACTGTTACACATGGTCAAACCTGATCACTACCTCTGTTATCTGGGCCAACTACTCCATCACCGTTTTTAAGCGACTATTTTTCATTTCAAGAATGGCAGTTGTGTTGCTATCGTTCCCGGTCCCACCGGCCAAAAAACTGCTCATCCACTCTCCGAGGTAGTCGTTTCGGCGCTAGTTTTCCCGGTGTCGATCGACTAAAGCATTTCTATGCAATGTCAATACAATGCATCAGCAGTATGCCAGCACACCGTACGGACGCTTCGTTGCCATGCAACCACGACCAGTCACGCGATGGCTGGGTTATCACGGGGTCGCCCGCGCCTACGGGGATTTGAGCCGGTAACCTCCGGATTACAACGCAAACGCTCAGTTCATTCGGCCACTGACCGACAGATATCGCTGAGCAACTTTATCATCAGCCGACGGTCTTTTAGCTTAGCACAACCTTCACTTGGCTGGGTCACTTTTGTAACTGTCGTCATTAAAATTCGATGCTCGGAACCCGGCGTTCCTATCTGTGCACTCAGGTAGACTTAACGGATGCCCTTTTGCTTTGACGAATGACTCCATATCAGTCTGTGAACCAAAAAATTTCACCCTGTTGCGAAACGACAGCCTTTCACTGCATCATAGAGGCCTGGTCTACAATCATCCTCTCTAGTTCTTTCCACTTTTCTATCCCGTTGCAATTGGATTATCTAAACTGCCACAAAAACACCCTGTTATTTACCCATTATATTTGAATGTGCCTTAAACTGATTGATAAATCTCATAAAAGTGCTCTCATGAGTTGTTGTTGCCTGCCTTTGTGGTTCAACTATTCGCCAGTATCCCCGAACATTACCTTGAGCAATGTTTTACCGCGCCGCGGATAACCGTGCTCAGCCATTGGGTCTCACTCCATCAGTCCCACTTGTAGGTGCTTACAAAGCGCGGATTTGGCGATCATGTGCCTTGCATTTGCCGGCTGCACTTGGTTTCTCCAGCGGCTCTGGTCTGTGTGCTGCTGTATGGATGCGGAAATGATTTTCTCTACGATTTCAGCCTTCTCTGATTCCACATACTATTTTTCCGTGGATTTGTTTTCACCTACTCTCATGCTCACGTCTAGTCTTTCGTCCCCTACGGAGCACTGCCAGTGTCGGATGTCACAGACTTATTCGCAGCGATAATATGCCTGAGTGTGCCAGAAAGTGGTAATTAGGTTAGGTACTTAGAGTAACAATTAATGTTGAAAAAGTTGCTTTGGCTCAGACACATGCTACAGCTGCCTGGTCACCGCTTACCGAAGAGGGTCTTGTTTGCTAAATGTTGGTTGACGCAAGACTCGAGGTGGACAAACGTGGTAATGAAGTCACTGATAACTAAACTGTGTGATGTTGGTCCTTTCGTCTCCCAGATTGGAGTCCGCGCAACCCGCCTCATGCTTGCTGAAGACGTTACATAACATGGCTCGCAGTCAACACAAGTGGTGTCCGGCGTCCTCTCGTAGTCCGCTTGCTTGTTTGAATTATGTTACGTGCCTCCCGGTCTTATTCCTTCGGGTCTACACCGGATACGGGGTGTGTGGGTGGTGCAGTGCAAGCCACCCATGGTCCATCTGTAGGCGCAGGCGTCTTGTGGCTGCCCCCGTGGAGGCCACAGTGACAAGCAAATTCGCATAAGGATGCCGCCAATCCAGGTGCTAAATTATCTGCAGGATATTGACTGATTATGACACGGAGCACTTAAAACCACAAGGAAACTATCTGGCCTATGCAGTCTTTGCACGACAGCCAACTGTTTATGGGTGTGTGGTTGCGAAACCTGGCCCATTAGCTTAGCCGACCATCGCTGCCTTCGCAGCATAGCTCATGTCTGGTGGGAACACCGGGTATCTGGTGCAGGAAGAGCGAGTAAACCGCCCGGCACCATTATATCCCACAGCAGGCTCCGATGGCTGGGCCACCTGTTGCGCATACCAGCTCAACGACTTTCACCTCGTGCGCTGTTTGCATGCCTCGGGGTATGGATGGAATAAGAGCAGGGAAAGCCAACCGATGGTTTGGTCTAGGGGAATGAAATCCCTCACTTCCAACTTGGCATCGGTTGGTGTTTCCCGACGGCCGGACTGGGATCC